TTTGGTGCAAACACCTTTGAGTCCATTCAAAAATATATACATGGCATATGTCAGTTTAGAAAAATATACTATAAAATGCAAGTGCAAATAGAAAGCAAGCAAAAAAAACTCAGTCTATATTTAAGTTTATTTTAAACTCAAGTAGAGACTAGTCTCTTTCCACTATAGTCAATTTTATTATTTTTAAATATTTTTGTCTATTTTATCCAAGACTTAATTGTCACATAAGTAAAAGTAGACCCAAAGTATTGCAGGTGCTCTAATAGACAGTTCTATTTTTAATTATTTTGTGATCTTGTGATCTTTGGCTAAATAGCAGTTTCAGCACTCCGAGTCTCTATATTGTATTTTTCTCCCCGCAGACTCACGCTAATTGACATTTTGCCCATGAGTAAATGTGAGCCTAATCCAATCAATTAACTATAAGACCAAGTCTCTTTTTTTTTTTTTTCTGAAACGGCAGATTTACTCAAATAAATAAAAGAGTCTTACAAACCGAAGAACCAACTGGCCTTAACTAAGGAATTACAAGGGAGAACCGATGGACGCGGCCTCAAATACAACAAACATATCAAAATAACCCAAACTAAGACATGTTACCAAAGGCAAGTACAACCACTTGAGACCTTTGATAAGAGAAGCAAATCAAAAATCCAATAGAGAAATAAAGGAGGATGAGAGCTAAAGCCACTGAACCGCAGGACCTAGCCATAGCCACTCAGCCTCCGCAAAACTAAGCTTTATCATTCCTGTTCAGGAACTCCTGCCATTCTTTGAGAGCCATTTGCAGGATTGTCTTGACAGGAATCCATTGCTTCTTGAAGACCCATAGATTACGGGCTTTCCACAGCCACCATAGGATGTAGGTGGAAAGCTGTATCCGAGCTTCAGAGACATCAGACTTATCAAGGGTTGAAATCTGCCACCACCATTCTTTGAAGCTGATGTTTTGATTCTGCAGGTTGTCCCAGGCAAGGGGGGAAGCCTTCCATACAAGTGATGCTCTGCTACAATGGAAGAAGAGATGCTCTGGTGTTTCTGCATCAGTACCACAACAAGGGCAGATGCAGTCAATTTGTAAGCCCCTTCTCATTAGGTTAGTTGTAACCGGGAGTGCACCAGAAAAGCCTTTCCACAAGAAGTGTTTGAGTTTTCCTTTTATGTTCATTTTCCAGCATCTTCTTCTGGCAGCAAGATCTCTCTTCTTTCCATTGCTGGATTCTGGAATATCAAGAGAAAGAAGCTTCTGGTAGGTGAGTTTGGAGTAAGCCTTGGCTACAGAGAAGTTGTTATTGATGCTGGTACCATCCCAAATCCATCTGTCTTTAAGGTCTGTGTTTAAGGTATTAATAGCCAAAATGGCTTTGCAATCAGCTTCAGAAAAATAGTTTTTGACCACATTGATATCCCATTTATTCCTGCCAGGTTCAAGGAGATCATGCACCCACATAAGCTGTAAAGGATCAGTCTGTTGTTGAGCTTGAGGGACACCAGAAGGAATGGAGGGGATCCAAGGGTCAGAGAAAATTTTGGTGTTTCTCCCATCTCTAACTTCCCTTCTAAAGCAGTGTTTATATTTTTCCTTGACAGCCATCCAACAGTTCCACATCCAGGAGGCAGAGTGGATTTTTCCAGCTTGAAGGACCGAACAATTTGGGAAGTATTTTTCTTTCAGAATTTTGCACACCAACATGTTAGGTTTAGAAAGTAACCTCCAAATTTGTTTAAGGATCATAGAGTCATTGAACAGCTTGATATCATGGAACCCTAGTCCACCATTGTCTTTGGGAAGAGTAATGTGACTCCATGCTTTCCAGTGGATCCCACTTTTTTGATCTTCTCCAGAACTCCACCAAAACTTAGCACTCATCATAGCAATTTCTTTGCAGATCCCTACTGGTAATGAGAAGCATGACATGATGAACACGGGAAGTGCATTGATGACTGAGTTGAGAAGAACTTCTTTGCCAGCTGGGGACAGGAGATTGTTTTTTCAGCTTTCTAACCTCTTCTTAACTTCTTCAATAACAAAGCCAAATGCTTCTTTTTTAGATTTACCAATTCCAAGAGGCATGCCCAGGTATCTAGATGACCTGTGAGTGGTAATGCCATCCAAAGCCACGCAAATGTCTCTTTGGAGGGAAAGGGGGGCATTTTTACTGAAAAAAACTGCAGATTTTTGGAGGTTAACTTTCTGACCTGTGTAAGTTTGGTATCTGAGCAGAATGGATAGGAGCCTTTGGGTTTGCAAGAGATTAGCTTCACAAAAAACAAGAGTGTCATCCGCAAAGAGTAGATGTGTAAGGGGTGTACCTCCTCTGACCAGTTTCAAGCCCTGAAATCTGTTGTTCTGAACATCATCGGCAAATAGTCTGGAGAGAGCTTCAGAGACTACAATGAAGAGATATGGTGACAGCGGATCTCCTTGTCTCACTCCTCTAGTTGGAGTAATAAAGCCACAAACTTTGCCATTGATGTTAAATGAGAAGGCAGAAGTGGAGATACAAGCAGATATCCATTTCACAAATGAAGGGTGGAATCCCATTTTCAGGAGGATATTAATGATACTGTGCCACTCAAGACGGTTAAAAGCTTTGATCATGTCTAGCTTCAGTGCCATGTAGGCTTTTCCTCCTGATCTGTGCCTGTTCAAGTAGTGAATGGCTTCCTGTGCCAAGATGACATTGTCTAGCAATTGCCTTTCAGGTATAAAGGCAGACTGGCTGGAACTTATGCAAGAGTTGAGGCACATTTTCAGTCTAGCAGCTAATATTTTAGAGATGATCTTGTAAGAGACATCACATAAGCTGATGGGTCGAAATTGACTGATAGAAGTGGGGTTGATGCATTTAGGAATAAGAGTAACAAGTGTTAAGTTCCAGCTTTTGAGAATCATACCAGAGTTGAAGAAACTGAGAATGGCTTTGCAAAGATCATCTTTGAGTAGAGGCCAAAAGTGCTGGAAGAAGAGTGGAGGAAAGCCATCCTCTCCAGGTGATTTGCTAGGGTTCATACTGAATAGGGCATTTTTAATTTCTTCTTCATCTACTGTGGCAATGAGATTAGAGTTCATGTCTGCAGATATAGATGTGGGGATTAGATTCAGAATGCCTGCATCACCTCTAAAGCCTTCGGAAGAAAATAGCTCTTTGTAGAATTTGACAACACATTTTTCAATTTCTTCCTGAGTATCTCTGGGGATATTGTCATTGTCTACAAGCCTGGTAATTGCATTAGATTTTCTTCTTTGGAGTGTGAGTGCATGGAAGAATTTAGTATTTTGGTCCCCCTCCTTTAGCCATTGAGATCTTGCTTTTTGCCTCCAAAATTCTTCCTCAGAGACATAAGCTTCATCCAACTCTTTCTTGATATATTCCCACTCCTCCCAGTTAATGTTGCTGCCTGCCACTCTCATCTCATCAAGTTGGAGGGAAAGCTTATCAATAGTTGCACTTTTGTTAAGTTTGAGAGCTTGACTCCATTTGAGCAGGGCCACTCTGGTGGCTTTGAGTTTTTCTCTGACAGCAAACATGGGAGTGCCTTCATTTGGAGTTTTCCAGACAGCCTTGATAGTATCTTCAATTCCTTCAGAGGAGAGCCATCTTTTATCAAAAGTGAATCTCCTTTTGTGTTTGGGAGTATTGCCTGGTTCTGAGTCAAGGACAAGCATGCTGTGGTCAGATGCACTTTTGAGCACATTGGTTACAGTGGCATTTGGTTGAGAAGATAGCCAGTGAAAGGATGCAAACACTCGGTCTAGCTTTTCTTCTATGAATTCCTCTTGGCTTCTTTTGTTACACCAGGTGAATGGATGCCCTTTTTGAATGATCTCATGCATACCCATATCAGATATAAATTTGTTGAAGTCCCAGAAACTTGAGGCAGGTCTGGCTCTGCCTCCTTTCTTGTCAGCACTAGAGCATATCTCGTTCCAATCACCACCAATAGCCCAGTTTTGACCCCATTTGCATTTGGCCTGCAATAGGTATTGCCATTGATACACTCTAACCTGTTTGTCAGTATTTGCATAAACAAGAATTAACCAGGAAGTTTGTGCTCCCTCCCTTGTTAGGATCTCTGTATTCCACTTCAAAACAGAATTGGTTACTACAAATTTGAGCAATATCAATATCATTACTCCATAAAAGAAGCAAACCACCACTGAGCCCCAGTGGTTCTACACATAGCCATCTATCTTTGAATCCTAGTTTAGTACAAACAGTTTTGGTAAAATTTTTTGATTTTCTGGTTTCTGATAAGAAGACAAAATTTGGGTGATGGGTCCTAATAGCCGCCCTCAATTGGGGAACTGTAGAGGGCCCACCCAGACCTCTACAGTTCCACAGGAGAACTCATTGATCACTTTGGGGCCAGTTGAGGCTGGCTACCACCACCTGTTTGTCTGAAGCTTTCATTTTTTTCTCCTTTCTGTCACTGCTGTTGGGAAGGTCATTCTCTTCATGAAGAATATCATCAATCTTTCTACTCTTTTTTGTTTTCTCTGGTGAAGGTTCTCTTATGATGATGCTTGCAGACTTTTGTGGTTTGCTTTCTGATTTGTCAGTAGTTTTTAGCCTTTTCCAAGTTTTTGCTTTTGGAATCTGTTTGGTGTCTGTGAGTCCCAATTGTGATGTTTGTTTGGATGGTTCCTCAGTATGTTCGAGCTCCATTGCAGCTGGGTGCACTTCAGATGTGTCTTCTTGTATACACTCCAGAATATCATTATTGCAGGGTGGAGGGTTAGCTGTGTCCATGGGACCAGTGACAGCCTTGGCATTTGCAGGTGGGGATAGCACGTTTGGCAGGGGTAGTGCAGAGGAATGCATTGAGGTTTCCTTGGTTGTCCGATTTTCTGAGGATGATGGAATATCTCCATCTTTGAAAGGTGATGAAGGAGGAGAAGAGTTAGACCATTTTGTAGGACTAATCTGCCGTGGAAGAAAGTAACTTTCAGTGGCTCGTAGCCAGTCCCCAAACTGCCCCTCTTTGAGTGTGCCATTAATGAAGTCTTGCTCTCTGGCATTACAGAACCTGTCTAAATGGCCGAGTTTGCCACAATAATAGCAGAGGCTGACCAGTTTTTCGTAATGAAATGTCACTCCAATCTGTTGATCTTGGAATTTGATGCTGGTGCCTCTAGGTAAGGGATCATTTAGATCTACAGTAACAAGAAGTTTTAGGAAATTTCCTTTGTTGCCTCCTGCTTTTATCACCAGAGCATTCTTTACTTGTTTGAATATGCTTCCAATTTTGGCTCCAACTTCAACTGTGAGCCATTGTAGGGGAACACGGTGAACGTGTACCCAGAGGTTTAGTTCTGAGAAGCAAGGGCTGTGTTCAGTCAGATTTCCTTTCCATTCTTGAAGAATGAGGTATTGGTTCTCATAAATCCAGTTGATACCTGCTGCAACTTTGAGCTTGTCGGAGTTAAGACTGAATATAAACTGAAAGAAATTCGTACCCAGTTCTCTTATATCAACTGTTCCTGAAATCTGCCAAATAGCTGTCATAGTTCTTTTTAATCCAAGAAGGCTCGCCTTACGCTCTCCTGCGATTTTCCCTAGAAGGCTACGGTTGCATTCCTCTAGGCCTGTCTTCACATCAACCTCAATTAGTTCAATAACACTGGCCTCGGGTTTTGAGAGAGAAACATTCTTTAGCCGACGCCCTAGTTCTTCTTCCAATCCCTCTGAGGTGGGGGTTTCTGAGCCATTATGCTCCATATGAGAAGTAACAGATCTTTGAATATGCAAGATGTCAAAGGGTGGGGATCAATTGAGATTATACGTTGATGGGTTATACAACAATCTGAAAAAAAGGAGCTCACACCATGAAAATTCGCCTCCCAAAGAGAGAATTTCAGCTCACACCGTGAGAATTATGGCGATTGAGAATAAGACCAAGTCTCTTGAAAATTGGTTTGTTTGGTTTGAGAAAATTTCAATTTTGGTATGGTTTTCACATTTCACTTTTAGTATTATTTGTATCAATTAATCAATATTGATATCCAACCTTTCATCCATTAATCACTTTTATTTCAAACCGTCAATTTTTTCGTTAAACTTTAATAGATCGTTACAAGTAGGTTTTTTATTAATAAAAAATTAATTAAATATTACAAAAATAATAATTAACAGTTTTAAAATGTATTATAGTAATACTAATTAAAAGTTAATTTATTTTCTTTCCCTGTCATCTCTTTGGACGCCGACTAGAGGTGTTCACGGTCCGGATTGGTCCGGTTTTATCCCAAACCATGGTCAAACCGGACCTGACGGTTAATTTTTTTCTTGTCCATAACCAGAGCGGTTTTTTTTAAACTGACCACAATCCGGACCGCATTGGACGGTCCGGTTTGGCGGTTAACCAGTTAAATCCAAAATCCTTGTGTTGGGCCTTCAATTTTTATTCTTTTCATTTTGGGCTTAATTTTTATTTTTCAATTTTGGGCCCAGAAGAGATTATTTGGGCCTAAAAATTAAGAAAAACAACAATAATGAAATAAAAAATACACAATTCGTCCCATAAGCATAAAAATACACATTTCGTCCCATAAATATAAAAATACAAAAATGATGAAGGTTAAATTATACAAATTGAACCAAGCAAGCATTCATTTTTCAGTCAGTTTATACACCTTAAATAATAAGAACAAATCATTCATAGTGAATATATTGTATTTGTCAGCTATAGTGAATGACTAAATGTATATAGTTTTTTAATATTTACCGTTCCGGTCCGGTTAAACCGACGGTTTGACGTAGGTAATCTGTTAACCGGACCGGTTATTCTGAATTTTTTAAAAAATTAACCACCGAATTTTTTAAGACTTTTTTAAAAAATTAACACCCCTAACGCCGACCATCGACACCAACCAACAATTGGCACTAGTTGCCATGACCGTCGGTAGTGATTGCTGCCAAACTGCCGAGTTTTATAATATGTGCTTTAAAGTTTATCCGAATAATATTTATTGAATTTTCATGAACAATATATTAATGGAAAGCCATTTTCTCAAAGAATATAAAGACAATTTTTTTGTAATTCTAACTTAGGATTACAAAACACTTCGATAAATAGGATTGCGAAACACATAAGTCACACGTAAGATCGAACATTCTGTAATTATATGCAGAGGATATTGAAAATGTCTAAATATGTTGTCAATCAGTTATTTTTCTTAATGAAGACAGGGAAATTTAGATTGTATAGTTAGATATATTTATCTATCCATGATGCCAATTTTTACAAATGCCTAAAATTTCCATACTTTTCATGTTATGAAATAATTATATGTAACACACTAATGCTCTTGCTTTTATTTTGCAAATATTTCACAAATCTAGTAAGTTTTGTATTCAGCAATGGCGTTTTCGCTACCATACCATGGTCAAGGTCAACAAATCATGGTTAATACTTTGTTGATTCTCACGCGGGCTGGCTTTTGCTCTATATTAGGAACTGAAGAATGGGTCATGCATCATGGGCCGAATAGTGAAGTCAATGCAAAATGTTGGGTTTTATTTATTATATTAGCATCAGGTTTTGGTCACATATAATATGGGTGGGTGACCAATCTATATCATAGACCGAACATCTATTTTTTTATAATGGAAATATATATTTGGTTAGAAAAACATTAGAAATGATTAGGTTTAATCAAGGTTGTCAAAATCGGACCGGTCATTGAACCGGTGAAGCTACCGGTTCAATGGTTCACTGGTCGGACCAGTGGTCGAACCGGTCGAACCAGTTTACTTAATATATAATTTTTTATTTATTTTATATGAATAATATATTATTATATATATATTTTTATCATTAATTTATAGTTTATAGTAACATTTGTCTAAATAAACTATAAATAAAAATAGGTTGTATAAATACAACGTATAATAGTAGATAGTAAAGCCATTAACTGGCCCGCTAGCAGATAGAGAATAAGTTGTATAAAGTTTTTCTAGAATACAATTATGTAGTCCAAATAAGACAATGACTCATGTAGTCATTTCAGCCCATGCCCAAGCAACAATTGAATTGGGCAAAAGTAAAAATTAAAACGGAAGTTGGCCCGCTAGTGGATAGAACACAATTGGACCAGTGGGCCGCGTTAACCGTTTTCGGTTTAACGGTTTTAGCGGGTTTTGACTGGTTCAAGCGATTTTTTACTGAGGTTCTATGTCTGAAACCGAACTGTTGCATTGTCCGGTTCCCCGTCGAACCGGCCGGTCCGATCCGGTTTTAACAACCTTAGATTTAACAAAAAAGTTTTATAGATCAAAGATTGAGTATACTAATGGTGCTCGACTGAGCTCGACGAACTATACAAATTACGAAGTATATTAATTATTCGAGATAATAACAAAAAACTACTTGAGATAAAGATAAAATTTTGCACTGAGTTCGAGTCGAATTCTTAATAGGAAATTATATTGAAAGAGATTTTCTCTTTTTCGACTAAAAATCAACTTGAGTCTGACTTGAATTCAATTGGATTTTGGGATGTTTACATGAATTATACTTAAATTCAAATGACTAATATTAAGGGTGTACTTGATATGAAAAAATCAAACAAAATTCTAATCACTTTTTTACCAATCTCTTTTATTTAATTCAAATTTAACTAAATTTTACTATCATTAACATTATCAATATAATTAAATAATATCAATCAGTCATCCTCACACGTCATAACAACTATAATTCATCATTTATCAACTTACATAGTTTTAACTACTCGTTTTAACTACTCATCATCACTTTCAATCACACATTTTATAATTTAACATCAAATCAACTTTAATTATTTTATTTTAATATTATTTCAATACAAACTTAAAATATCATCCAAACCTAACTCAACCAATTTTTTCAAAATTAACTATGATCAACCAAAAAAATAATCAAAATAAAAATATCCAATCACAAACTTATATCTCAACACCCCTAAAAAAACACAAACCCACCCAATAAAAAGAGAAAATTAAAGGAGAAGCTCTTTTTGGCAAATTCGATCATAACCCGTGGAGAAACCTGTACCGACCCGGGTGACGTCATCCGCTCTTTTCACCAACCCAGCCAACAAACAGCCAACCTACCATCCCCCAATCAAGAACAAATACCAGTGCGAAACCAGAAAAGGTGCCCAATTTTGACCCGCCAATCAAAACTGGTAAGCTCGTTGAGCAAAATTCCTTTTAGTATTTACTCGTTTCTAATTCATGTTTCTTCTTGCTATATGCTCTAATTAATTCGAAGTTAGCTGGACCTACTAATACATATCTGCTTCTTTAGGTCTGCTCTCACGTTCAGTTCATCTCTTGCAACATTAATTTCATCGGAGCAGAAGATTAAGGTTTGTGCCTTTTCTCCTCCTCTGTTTTTTCCCAACTTTGTTGATGTGTTGTTTCATTATCGGAGCAGAAGATTAAGGTTTGTCCTTATTGTCATTTTTTTTTTTTTTTTAATACCTTTTGGATCGTTTGCCTGGTGTAAATTGCATATGGGTTCATGGAGAAGCTCCATTCTTTGTCGAGATAAGAATAATTAAAAGTGATATATGGGTATTGCATTTGATGGTGATTACAAATCTGTGTTTAGAAAGGGATGATGAAGGAGTCTGAGCTTGTCATATACGAGTTCCGACAAGAACTATGACTTACATTTTAGATCTAATTAAGCTTGATCCCGATTTAGGCAGTTTTCATGTGGTCCCTTTGGCTATAGCTGTTTTAGCAGTGTTTGAGCAATATTTTAGACAAGCTGGATCATCTACTGTTTGATCATAGAGTTGAAGTTACTGTTTATCTAATTATCTTGATTTAAATTCATGTCTAAAGATCTAGATATTTATCTCTGCTTCTTTAGTGAAACTCACAAACTCTTTTATGAGGCAGCTTAACGGGTACTCGGGTCAACCCGTCATACATTTTTCTCATTTGTCTGGTGTAAATTGCATATCGGTTCATAGAGAAGCTATTTTCTTTATTGTGAGTGGATTAATTAAAAGCGATTAAAGTTACTGCATTTAGCGATGATTAAAGATCTTGTTCTGAAAGGGCTGATGAAGGAACCTGAGCTTGTCATGTACAAGTCCCGACAAGAACTATGACTTACATTCGAGATCTAATCAAAGCCGATCTCAATTCAAGTAGTTTTCTTGTGTTTCTATTGGCAATAGCTGCTTACCAGTGTTTGAACTACAAAGCAAGAGCAGGCTCACGTACTGTTTGATCTGAGAGTTAAAGTTACCGTTTCATCTTGTTTCGATCTTTTTTATGTTTGAGATCTAATCAATCTCGATCTCAATTCAAGTAGCTTTCATGTGTTTCTGTTGGCAATTGCTGTTTAGCAGTGTTTGGAACAATATTTACAAACAGTCAGGATCATGTACTGTTTGATTTGAGAATTAAAGTCACCGTTTCATCTCGTTTCGATCGGATTTATGTTTAAAGATCTAGACTCTCTCTGCTTCTTCATTGCAAATTAAATCCATGCACTTGCATTATTTGATTATTATTATTACCATCATAATTGACTGTCATGTCATGCTGCATAAACATGAATCTATCAAGCAAAAATGTTTCATTTCGGCAAAATTACAGATCCATCTGCAAACCTTGATTGTATGATTATTGTTCATCTTTAAAAGGAGATAAAATGGCTGAGCAATCCTCAAAGCTGACCAGAATCGGGCTCGCCGGCCTGGCCGTCATGGGCCAGAACCTTGCCCTCAACATCGCCGAGAAAGGCTTCCCCATCTCCGTCTACAACCGAACCACATCCAAAGTCGACGAGACCGTCGATCGGGCCCGCGCCGAGGGCAACCTCCCCGTCCTCGGCTTCCACGACCCGGAATCCTTCGTCAAGTCGATCCAAAAGCCCCGCGTCGTCATCATGCTCGTCAAGGCGGGCCCGCCCGTCGACCAAACGATTGAGACCCTCTCGTCCTTTTTAGAACCCGGCGACTGCATCGTCGATGGCGGTAACGAGTGGTACGAAAACACCGAGAGGCGCGAGAAATCCGTCTCGGCCAAAGGTCTGTTGTATCTCGGGATGGGAGTCTCGGGCGGCGAGGAAGGCGCTCGAAACGGGCCCTCACTCATGCCCGGTGGGGCCCACGAGGCTTACAAGTACATCGAGGACATTATCGTAAAAGTGGCGGCCCAAGTTCCGGAAAGTGGGCCGTGCGTGACGTACGTCGGGAAAGGCGGGTCGGGTAATTTCGTGAAGATGATCCATAACGGGATTGAGTATGGAGACATGCAGCTGATTGCCGAGGCTTACGATGTTTTGAAATCCGTCGGGAAGCTTACGAACGACGAGCTGAGAGCGGTTTTCTCCGAGTGGAACAAAGGGGAGCTACAGAGCTTCTTGATTGAAATCACGGCCGATATTTTCGGGATCAAGGATGATAAGGGGGACGGGTTTTTGGTCGATAAGGTGCTCGATAAAACCGGGATGAAGGGAACCGGGAAGTGGACCGTGCAACAAGCGGCCGAGTTATCGGTCGCGGCCCCCACGATCGAGGCCTCGTTGGATTCGAGATTCTTGAGTGGGTTGAAGGAGGAAAGAATCGAGGCGGCGAAAGTTTTTAAGTCGGGCGGTTTTGGAGATATTTTGACCGAGCAGACGGTTGATAAGGGACAGCTGGTTCATGATGTGAGGCAAGCACTTTACGCGTCGAAAATCTGCAGTTACGCGCAGGTAGGCTTGTAAACAAAGCGAATTACTTTGATTCGATTCGAAATTCGAAATATTCGAATTTGAATATGAATAATGTTTTATATTCTAAAGTTAAACGAATCCGAATCCGAATTTGTTGATATTCGATTCGAAATTATCGAATATTCGATTCGTTAACGATAATAATATAAATTTTATAAGTTATATATAGCATATATTTTGTTTATAATATATATATATATATATATATATATATTCTTAATATTTTTATGACATAATAATAAAAAAATCCCAAATTAACAATTTGCCATAAAAACATCTCAAAGAAAAAACATAAACAATATTGTTGTAGTTATAATCTTTTTCTTTAATTATAATATTTTTCTGAAATCAAATTTCGAATTGAATCATATATGTTCTAATATTCTAAACGAATACGAATTCGAATCTTCGAATATTTTGACGAATCGAAATCGAATATCTTAGTATTCCCTTTGATTCAATTCGTTTACCAACCCTACGTGCAGGGTATGAATTTGATTCGTGCAAAGAGCATCGAAAAAGGGTGGGACTTGAAGCTAGGGGAATTGGCCCGGATTTGGAAAGGAGGTTGTATTATTCGGGCCATTTTCTTGGACCGTATCAAACGGGCCTACGACAGGAACCCAGATCTTGCGAACCTGCTAGTGGACCCGGAGTTTGCAAAGGAGATTATCGAGAGGCAAGCGGCTTGGAGGAGGGTTGTTTGTTTAGCCATTAACTCGGGCATTAGCACTCCTGGTATGTCTGCTAGTCTTGCTTATTTCGATACGTACAGAAGGGAGAGATTGCCGGCTAATTTGGTGCAGGCACAGAGAGATTATTTTGGGGCCCACACGTATGAGCGTGTGGATGTTCCCGGGTCATTCCACACCGAGTGGTTCAAGATTGCAAAAAGTATCGGTTAAATGAAAAAAGGTTGGGCTTTTTTATGTTTGTTTGTTTTTGGTGAATAAATTGCGGGGAATAATAAGTGTTTGAACTTTGAACTGGTGGTTAACTGTTATATCGGTATTGGAAGCAAGAATTCTGAGTAAGTATTGTTTGACTGAGTTTGTGTATCCTCAGTTGATTTGGAAGTGAACCTTTTGCCATTTTTCATTGTCTGTGTAGTACTTGTTTGAAGTGATATTTTGAAGCTTTTGTATTCTGAGTTTTTCTCAGTATCTGGTTCTTGAGCAACATATCGATGCAGATGTGTAATATGGTGGATTTATGTGCTAGATTTGCTTCTGCTTATAACCTTCCTATATTCAAATAAGCTTCGTTTGGTAGGACGAGTTTTTTTTAAAAACTCGAGCTTATCTCACAAACGTCTTTGGGTAGTTTTTCAAATGAACTCGTTGAAATTTGTATTTCAGCTAACTTTTCAGCTAATTTTATCAAACACTTTTACCATATAAGCTAGCTTTTCAGTTACAAGTCATAAGTTATAAGCTATAGGCTATGTTTGGTAGGCAAATAAGTTAGCGTATAAATTATTTTGTTAGCTTATAAGTTTCCTTCACTTATCAACTAGTTATCTTTATCAGCTAACGTTTTATTAAACGAAATTGGGCCAAACTGGAATATAGGGGCAAAATTGGAAGTTGACATACTGGTGTTTGTTGGGTATATTTTGGACTTACGATTCACTTGGGTTCCATAATACCAGGTTTTTTTCTGTGTGGATTCATAGTCCAAAAGGTATTATAGCTCAAGCCCAAGTGTAGCTGTATAGGGCTTAGACCTTATTGTGGCTTCATTGTGAGTTAGGGTTAGGCTCGACTCGTTAATTCTAAAATCTTATAGATGACAGAAGTTTTAAAAAGCTCTTTAGGTATGAACCTGAGATTTTTTTTGTTGGTTTCAAGCTAATTTCTGAGAATAATTACCAAACTTCAATTCCTGAATTATAAAATTCTTTCAAACAGTTCCCTCAAGTTATTTTTTTTTTCCCATTTAGAGAACCCTAAATTGAGGTTACAACTGATAAATAAATATCAACGCCAGCAGAAATTATATAGAGCCAACCGAATAACTTATTTATTGAATCATTCATCGTCACATGTCATATATATATTTATTTTTTAGGTTAATATACTGTTTATGAATAATTGTTGATGATTCATAAGTGTATTTTTCGATAGCTACATTACGAATACAGGATTTGTTCTTAAGAATTCACTTGAATAAAGAGAGATTTGGATTTGAGAAAAAAAAATAAAAATAAAAAATTAGACAATTCCAAAGATTTACTCAAACATAAATGTTATATACCATTGATAACTCTTTCAAAGCAGGGTAATTTCTGTAATTAAGACTATTTCTATTGATTTTTTTTTTGTACTATCAGCTTCTGGACCTTCAGCGCAACATATCAAAAGACCTTGTACAGTCAAGTGTACTATGTTGAAGTACAAGTGGGAATNAACATGTTTTTTTTTTTTCAAAAAAATCTTCTCATCTGAAAAAGTAAAATGAAAAGATGAAAATATCTTTTTAATAAAAATAAGATATACTTAAGATTGTGAATATTGAAAACTATAACAAATAAGATTGGTGTAACATTAAAATAATAAAATATTGATTGATAAAATTAATAATAGGAATTATGTGAATGAATTAATTGTGTTGAAGTAATTGAAAATATACACTAATTTTTTTTATTTGAATTAGCGAAATCGTGAGAAAAAATAGGATAATAAAAGAAAATCTACTAATATTCAGTGAAATAAATTTCGACCAATATATATATATATATATATATATATATATATATAGGGGGCGGATCAAATGGTACCAGCACTTAAAATGGGACCTGCTCTTAGCAACTATAGAGAACTAACCTAGCAACTACAGATAACTAACCTAGCTATTACTAACCTAGCAACTACAGAGAACTAACCTAGCAAGAACTAACCAGCAAGAAACAAATAACCTAGCAACAAAAGACAACTAACCTAGCAGCAGCATCAGACAACTAACCTAGCAACTTAAGACAACTTATCTAGCAACAAAAGACAACTAACCTAGCAGCAAAAAAGAAATAACCTAGCAACAAAAGACGACTAACCTAGCAGCATCAGACAACTAACCTAGCACTAAGAAAGAACTAACCTAGCAACAAAAGACAACTAGCCTACCAACAGAACACAACTAACCTAGCAACTTAAGACAACTAACCTAGCAACAAAACTCAACTAACCTAGCAGCTACAAATAACTAACCTAACAACAACAAACAACTAACTTAGCAACAAAACACAACTAACCTAGCAAGAAAGAAATAACATAACAACAAAAGATAAACGGTCAACGGTCAACGCTGGAGTCAACGGTCAATGGTCATAATAATATTTAAATAATTAAAAATAAAGAATTAAATAATAAAAATAAAGAATTGTTATTTAATCAAGATCTAAATCTTGTGACTAGGAATGAGTCTTATGTTCTCACTTTAAATAAATGAATGCATTTGAACCAAATACGTAGGTGAACGACAAAAGATGGAGGGGTCATGGAGCTTTATGAGTTCTGACAAAGAAAGTCTTTTGAGGGTTTGAGTATAGAAGTTGGGCCCACGGAATTGGATTACATTCGTTTGTGTATTTGTTGTCAGCAACACAGCACATGGCGTATATTGAAGAGCAAAATTGCATAAAATAATACATTTTTAGGTGGTTATATTTTCGTCACCACTTTAATACTTTTATAATTAAAGACATCAATTTAATCTATTTTGAAGTTGAAAGCATGAAAATCATTTTCGACCATTGATTTCTTACACAACTTTAACGGAATTCAAATGCACTTAGCGGCTTGGGACTAAAATTGGATTAAACTGAAAACGAAATTCATTATTTCAATTTCAAGTATGTAGAGAAGAAAATAGAGATCGAGAAAAGATATTTTGAGAAATTTTTCTGCAATTTTATTCAATATCCAAATGTTATTAATGAAGAAGATGAAGAAATGCAGCTATTTAAAACCGATCACATGAGCTAAGGAAAACTAAACCAATCAAGATGTGATATAATGTGCCATGTGCATGAGAAACGCACAAAAAATCTAAGAGAAACAACACTCTTTCAAATTGAAATATCTCACTTTTTAATTTTATTTTACAACTTAAATTGAAATCATCCCAACTTACAAATCACATATCTCATTCCAAATACTTAAAAGAAATCATGATAGCAACCCGCGATATAACCATAAGTTCATAAAATTAAGAACATTGTCAAAAGAAAAAACTACTACATAATGAATCTATATATTACTGCAAAAAAAAATAATACCAAAACACTACTAAGAATTACCAACTATGTGCACCCAAGTACAAATGAATTTTCTTCTTCTTCACCGTAACACTCCAACACACGATTCTCATCCAACTCAAAGTCAATATCATTTTTTGCATTGAGTTGTTCCTCCTTGATTCAAAATCCTCTTTCTCAAACTCTCAATATTAAAGTGTCACCAACTTCAAGTTCGTTAGCCCCATCTTCTGCATCTTTCAGTACTCATTGAAATAATCCATTCTTGTGTTTTGCTTGCATCACTAGCAAGCAACACATTTTCCGATAAAGTTGAAATTCTCCCTTTCAGATTTGAGATTTGGCTTTGGATGTCAGTTTTGTTTGTTTGTTCCTCCCTTTATATGGAGCACAACTCGGATTTTTATTTTTTAAGTTAATTGACCTTAACAGCGTTGTATTAAAAGATATATGTAACAACAAATTCTGTTTCAAGTCTCACTGGGCGTGCCAAATTTGTAACAACAAATTTTATGAAAAACATAAAACTTTTGTACAACTTGAATATATATTGATCAAACGATATTGTGGGTACAATCTCTATTATCTCCTCTGATTCTTCTCTTCTTGAATTTGGATTGGATTTTCGAAGACGGATTTAGACTTGGATCTTCTTTGGGCTTGATTTTGAATTTTCCTAACATTAATTTGGGGGTCGAGTGACTTGTTCTCATATTAAATGTTTGGACTTGACTTGATTGAAGAATACTTCTTGGATGACTTATTTATTTGATCTTCTTGAAAGACGGATTTTGACTTGAATAACTTTGACTCGAGAGCTTGATAGTTTTTTCCCGGATCAGACGCTATGTTGGTTGAACTTTTCGACGAACGCGACTTGAATGTCGGTTGAACTCCGTTGATATTCTTGGACGCTATGTTGGTTGAACTTTTCGACGAACGCGGCTGGAATGTCGCTTGAACACCGTTGATGTTCTTGGATTGATGAGCGGAGTGGAAGTCATCTCTTTACTTCTTGGGGAAGAGCTGCCGCCTCTTTTTTCTTCTTTTGGCTTTCTTCTTCATTGAATGGACTTGGTTGCGTGTTGAACGCCGATCTTCAACTTGAATGACCTTGAAACTTCAAGAACATCTTTAGATATTCAAGAGAATTATTGAGAGCTCTTGAACTTGTGATTTTGATGTATGAGGTGTGTTTGATTTTTGAGGTGTCTTAGATGTGATTTGTGACTTTGAGGAGAGCGCGATTGGTGTAGGAGAGAGAGTTTTGGAAAAGAAGACATCAATTTGATTGGTCCTTATTCCTAATCTTATATTTGACTTGGTGAACAAAAAATAATAACATTATTAATTATATATTTTATATATTTATCATGAATTTATGTCCAAAAAATAAATAAAGACATTAATTAATAAAATATTAAAATTTCAATGTCTACAATATATTAGCTTTTAAAGACGTTAGTCGAGATTTGAGAAAATGTGTGTAAAAAGAATATAAGCAAGAGGATAATTGTGCCTTTTTGCTTGCGATAGATATCATCATGCTTGATACTCGTGTTTGCAATTTGAAAATGTATAGCCATATACTATGCTTTATTTTGGCTTTTTAGTATCTATTTGTTATGTTCCTTTTAACTCGAGGAAACAATTGAACATATATTCATTTGGTTTTAATAATATAAGGATTGTTAAGTAAACAATTTTATGATTTCACTTTTATTTTAGTTGTTATGGTGGAACGTTAGTATAAGTGATGTTGCAATAATTATATTGAACTAAATGCAAATATTTTGTTCCCACAAGAGAAATTTCATGTAGCCTGCAGTTATTTTTTAATAATATAAATATATATTTTTATTCACTCATCATCATAGGGTTGACCCGTAGAAACAATGACGACCCGCCGGGAATATTCTGTCAAAATCGGGTTTATTTTGATTGGTTTGATTTATTGACTCCCATTAATCAAAGTGTTTGTGAAAAGTAATTTACACCTTAATTAATTAATTCGAACAAATCTTCATTTTTAACGCACAAAAAGACAAAAAGAAAAAAAATCGAAAACGTAGATTTTCTTTTGGCTATCATTAGATCTATCGCGTGCTCCAGCTGCCGCGTCTCATATAATATAATATGATTAATACAACTCGTAAAGAAGAGGAAGTTTCGTGAGAATTTTTCCCACTAAATACAATGTCATTTTCTTTTATTTCTTCTTGCTTTTATTCTTCCTTTTTCGATTTCTTGTGCTGTTCGTTTT